AAAGCGTAGGGGGGGGTATAGGATGTGAGGTGTGGGGTTAGCCTATGCTTGCTTATAGACCCCTTTTTGAACCCTTCAAAGGAACCCCAACACGCCCTATTGTAATTATTGAGGCCTCTACATTATCCCTCAAGGCGCCTGGTTCGAGACCCAGGTCTAGCAGAGCTTCCAGGGGCTCAGCGCCCAGGCGAAGCAGCTGAGGATCAGGCCGCTTCCTCCCCGAAACGGCTGGGGGTTTGAATTTACTGTAGGGGTGTTAGTAAGCATAATAGGGTTTTGGGGCCCCCGTATACTATAGTTATAATAAGGAAGCCCCAAAATGATATTGGTAATTATTTAGGCCCCTACATCAGGGCTCAGGGTTTCGGGTTTATAGGGGACGGGGTGAAGGGCGGGGGCTTAGGGTTTTAGGGAATTAGGGTTCGGTTCTCAGATTTCGGGGTTTAGGGCTCAGATGTTTTGGGCTTTAAGGGGTTTAGGGCTTTGGGGCTAAGAGAGTTTAGGCTTGAGGGGTTAAGGGCTTGAGGGCTTTAGGGTTTAGGCATCGAGGCGAAGAAGGCTTCGGGCTCCTGACTTTCTAGAGCAGAAGACCCGGTCCAGGTTAAAGGCTGAGATTTCGGGTGTTCAGGGCAAGTTTAGGGTTTCGGGTTTAGGATTTGGGGTAGAATTCATAATGTACATCTCAAGCTTGTGCCTTGAAGTTCCCCTGGCATTCGCACCTGTTTTCCTTGCTGCTCAGGGCTGACAACATCCTGATCTGCAGCTTCAGTGCTACTTGCAAGAGATATATCCTTCTGCACATTGTGCTGTATGCGCTCCTGAAGTGCCCGTCGGCGCGTATATGTGAGTACATATCTACACATGTGCGCCGATAATCGTATACATGTGCTTTGCATGCTCTATGGTCACAGACATGCATAAGCCGTAAGCCTGTCTATCTGGAAGCACGCAGGCCATTGAAACTTACGAATGTGTATGGCGAAGATCGGGTCCCACATTCAGTCCTTGTGCATGCTGAGTGGAACGAGCACCGCGGCCCCGCGACTTGCAGCGCAGTCGCCTGAGGATGTAAGAATCTTGATGGAATTTTCAGCCGGGTTTTCCAGCTGAAGCACAGGCGGAATTCGCCCTTCAACCCTGCGAGTTCGGAAGCACGGTCGGAGACTCGGTAGTCTAGGACTGTGGAGTCTCCGAACATGCGGTACAGCAGAGCCGAGAGTCCTCTGAGTAGGGGCCTCAATAAGTACCAATTCTGTTCTGCGGGGGTTCCCTATTTTGCTTATAGTATAGATAGGCCTTGTGGGCACATATACACAGATGCACGCAGAGAGCTCAAGATAAGTCAGAGTTTGAGTGCCCCACTCTGATCGCAACGCTTATACCATAGAAACCCTAGAGAACCATTCTAAGGACCCGTCCAAGGAAGCTTCCTACACTATACAAAATCTCCTCAAACACTTCGACACCTGCTCAAAGTTCATGTCCCTGTTCGCTTTAGCTCAAGCTGCTGACATCCTAACCCCCTGCTTGAAGGATCGCTTTAGGCTTTAGGGTGTCTCGGCTTGCAAATAAGGCAACATACACAAACCCCAATTGAGGTACTAATCCCTGACCCACAATCCTAAACCCTAAACCCCAAAAGTTAAGGGACTTCTAAGCTTACCTGCAACGTCCCATGACCCTCCGAGTGAGCGTGTGCTTCGAAGCGAACTCGAAGATGCCATATGGATGCAGCAACAAAAGCCATGGAGACAACAAAAAAAACGCAACAGCATGCTGGGTTGTGGCAAGCCTGATAACAAAAATAATGCAGTAAGGCTACTAACAAGAAAAGACAGAACAAAGATAACCATAATGACAATCAATAGCTGTTATGAAATGTGACGAGGATGGTTTGATGATGATGATGATGATGAAGCTGATGCTGATGATGCTGATGATGATGGTGATGATGGTGGTGATGGTGATGATGGTGGTGATGATGATGATTTGATGATGACGACGATGATGATGATTGCAGGTTGAACATAGCCCGATCAGCGAAAGCCCAAAGCAGCCAGCATACACACCGAATCCAAAAGCACAGGCCGGGAAACCCCGAAAACGAGGATCTCCAATCTCGCGCTTTTGTAACTGCACGTCAAGGTCCTGTTCTTTGCGCTGCTGACACAGCCTGGAAGGACAAAGACCTTGAAACAGAAGCAAAAACTTTTATGCGTGCTGCTTAATATCCTGCATGGCACCTCCATGGCAAGCATGACCCCAGCTCACGACAGATCCATCGGCAAGAATGGCAGCAAAAGCGTCCATGGAGGCTTGGATGCGCGCTACATTGCCCAGCTGGGCCTGCACAGCACTGCTGTCACCACCACGGGGAGCATCGCCCCAGGTCACGACGGATCCATCGGAAAGAATAGCAGCAAAAGCGCGATGGTTGCTTTGGATCTGTTGCACATTCCGCAGCTGGCCCTGCACAGCACTGCTGTCACCACCACAGCCAGCAGCACCCCAGGTCACGACGGATCCATCACCGAGCATGGCAGCAAAAGCACGGAAAGAGGCTTGGATCTGCTGCACATTCTTCAGCTCAGCCTGCACAGCACTACTGTCACCACCATATGCAGCAAAACCCCAGGTCACAGCGGATCCATTGTCAAGAATAGCAGCAAAAGCGGCGGCAGAGGCCTGGATCTGCTGCACGTTCTTCAGCTGCTCTTGCACAGCACGACTATCCCCCCCACACAAGTCATAACCCCAGGTCACGACGGATCCATCCAGCAGAATGGCAGCAAAAGCGTTGTCAGTGGCTTGGATCTGCTGCACATTCTGCAGCTGATCCTGCACAGCACTGCAGACGCCGCCATCGTCAGCATCACCCCAGGTGACGACAGATCCGTCGCCAAGAATGGCAGCAAAAGCGCCGGAAGAGGCTTGGATCCGTTGCACATTTCTTAGCCGGTCCTGCGCAGCAGGACTGTTTCCATGGTTATCCCCCCACGTGACGACCGAGCCATCGCCTAGAATGGCAGCGAAAGCGCCGGAAGAGGCTTGGATCTGCAGCACATTCTTTAGCTCAGCCTCCACAGCACTACTGTCGCCACCGTTGTGCGCAGCACCCCAGGTCACGACAGATCGGTCGGCAAGAATGGCAGCAAAAGCAAAATCAGAGGCCTGGATCTGCTGCACATTCTTCAGCTTGTCCTGAACAGCACTACTGTCACCGCCAAGGTGAACATCACCCCAGGTCACGACCGATCCATCGCCAAGAACTGCAGCAAAAGCAAAGGCAGCGGCTTGTAGCTGCTGCACATTCTTCAGCTTATCCTGAACAGCACTACTGTCACCACCATTGTCAGCTGAACCCCAGGCCACGACGGATCCATCACCAAGAATGCCAGAAAAAGCTCTGTTAGAGCCTCGAACTTGAACTTTGTTCATATGCAAAGTCAGGAAATCACCATTTTGCAGCCTGGTACACTTGATCGGTTCAAATTCATTCAGAATGCTGCCAGATGGGCCCACTAGCCGCCCTCTTCCGACTCCTAGTGCGGTCTGTGCCCGACGTTTCAGTGTTCCCACTTCTTCATCTGGGTCGGCTTTCACAGTAGCTGACTTGCCGCTGAGCAGCCCAACCGCCACTTCAATCGACATGTTGCGACGCAGAATCTCAAAGCCCGACGGAACTTCGCATTTTGGAGTATATCTGTGGGTGTCTTTGATAGATTGCTTGCAACAGTTCGTCCACCTTCGTTCAACAGCCCAGTGCTACGATCAGTCGCACCTGCCATGCATGGACGCCGCTGGGTTCGAAGAGAACCCTAAGGATTGAGGTAGAGAGTCTAGGGGCCTTCAAAAAATCAGAACAGGGTTTTCCCGAAAGCATCGCGAAGGGTTCTTCCGTGCGGAGCCCCGCAGAGAAAATACATAGAGAATACATGGGGTCAAGTACACTTGACTTTACGAACACTTGACTTTATGACATTTGACTTTACCACTTTACCA